CAGCCCTCCCACAGCCCCTTCAGGCACTGGCAGCTGCTCTGAGGTCTCCCTGCAGCCTTCTCTTCCCCAGGCTGAGCAGCCCCAGCTCTCCCAGCCTCTCCTCCCAGCAGAGGGGTTCCAGCCCTCGGATCATTGCTGGGGCCTCCTCTGGCCCCGCTCCCACAGCTCCAGGTCTGTCCTGTGCTGAGGGCTCCAGAGCTGGACGCAGGACTCCCGGGGGTCTCAGCAGAGCGGGGCAGAGGGGCAGAATCCCCTCCCTCGCCCTGTGCCCACGCTGCTGGGGATGCAGCCCAGGGCACAGTTGGCCTTCAGGGCTGCCAGCGCACGTTGCGTATGGGAAACCACACCGGGCAGGAACGCTGGATCACAGCATCCCGCCAGGGAAGCGGCAGGATGCAGCACCGCAGGGTAAAGGTCTCGTGCGTTCGTTAGCGGGAAGGCTCATCCGTGTGTGGCACTGTCGCTGCAGTGGAAGAATGCTACAACTATCCCTTTGGCTTTTAAAAATCCAGAGAAATGCCATGTAAATGATGAAAATCTTGGAAAACATTATTTACAGCAAGAGACTTCAGCCCAATCTGGCTTATCAAGGGGAAGGTTACAAAATCGTAGCGTGGAGGTGCTTGCATGTGGAATAGAAACATTATCAAAGGGCTTTTTGATCTGCAGGATGGTGGTCTAAAAACGGCCACTAGTCAAAGCTGGAGCAGGTCAAACTGGAAATAGGTACTTCTTCACATTTAGCACAAAGTCATTAACCATGAAAGAGCTTGGTGAGGTTTATGGTGGATTCTCTATCAACAGCAGGTTTTGAAGCTGGAAGGCACATGTTTGCTAACACATCTTCTTAGTCAGGGGTTAGTTCAGACCCTCTGCAGAAGGTTTGATTCCAGGAGCGCTGGGTTAGCCCGAGGAAAGGGGCTGGCGTCGGTGCCCAGTGTGATGGTGGAATCGTGTCTCTCTGCTCCATAGGCATTGCTTTTACCTGGATTTTGGCATATATACTTTTTTAAATTCTAAATGCCATTTTCCTGGTGCTCTTTACATTCAGTTGCATTTTGGTAACTCTAGATAACTTTTTGCCATCCTCAGATCTTGTCCCGTTGCTATTTACCATCGGGAAAACTGCCTTCTAATTCCGGTTTGTTACGTAGCCTTGTGTTGTTCCCTTTTAACCGATTAACTGCCCGGGGAAGACCTTCAGGCTCCTTCCAGGGCTTCTGAGGGCTGTGAAGAGCCTTGTTCAACGCCTTGTGGAAACCCAAGCAGCCTCTGCCCAACGGCTGCCCCTTTCCTGCATGCGTGCCGGCTCCCTCGAAGATCTCGAGGTGTTTGAGATGCGTTTGCAGAAGCCACATCGACATTGTCCCACTTCTCCATTAATTAGAAGCTTAGAACAGCATCTGCCAGTGCCACCAGCACGGGTATCAGTTTTACTGGTACGTTGTCCTGCGGATTGTGCCTGCAGCTCTCTGCCCACCAGAGCCGGGGCTGGTCTGAAGCACGACACGTATGTGATGGAGGCAGGCTGGTGTGAGCCTGCTGCTCTCCTGGCGCTGAGCTGCCCTCCCGGGGTCTTCCTCCAGCAAGGTGGTGGGGGCCAGCCCGCCTCTTCTCATTGCTTTCTTCTTTTCTTCTTCTGGCTTGCTGAATGATGGGTCCCACAGGTGGGAAACTGCTCAGTCAACAGAGGAGGCATTAACAAAGCTTGTCTACCCGTTTTATTTGAGGATTAAAAAAGACAATTCCAAATCTTTGTCCTTACGCTGAACTTCTCGCACAGCAAATGGTCGTTGCCAGGTCCCCTGCACAATGCAGGCGCTGTCTCAGCTTTCACCCTGTCAGAAAACTCTCTCGGTGAAATTAAAGCCGGGTGTCTGTGCCCTGCTTCCTTCAGGTGCTTTGGAGAAGGAGTTGAGTGAAGAACTCTAAACATGAGCACGGAGGCAGCTTCCACGGTTAATATAACTGCGTTACCCGTGCCTCGGGAACGCCAGCGGAGCTGTGCCGGCCTCTTCTGCCTCTCCGTGAACCCAAATTCCTTCACAAAGCAGAACGTAACTGTTAATTGGGTGTGTGGAGGATGGGGAGCAGGTCTGAGAGTGGGCCTGGCTTGGTGAAGTTAGCTGGCAAAGGGAAGGAATAGCGAGGTGTTTTGGTTTCGGCTGCCGCCGGCAACAAAAGCGCCACGCGGCCGCCCCTCCCCCCGCCAGCGTGCGGGGGAGAATGAAAAGAACCCCCGCCGGAACCCAGCGTGACGGCACGTGGTATGGAACACCGGGCTCTGTTTGGCCAGGTGGGGTCAGCCCCCGCCCCCCGGCTGTGCCCCTTCCTGGAGTCTGGTGAAAATTAACCCTGTCCTGGCCAAACCCAGGACACGAGGGAACGAGACGCGGCGCTCTCTGTGCTGCCAAGGTGGGAGCGGGGAGCCCTGGCTGCTGCCCCGGCGAGGACGCAGGCCGGGGGCGGTTGGGCAGTGCTCCGTTCCGAGACGGGAGTACCCCTGACGTGCCATTTCTCGAACCTGGAGACCATCTGCCCAGCGAGACGCGCTGGGTTGGGTGTTTGCCGTGTTCAATAAAC